AAGGAAGCAGGATGGAGAGCTGGAAGGTGAACAGAGGGAGCCACATGGAGCTGAGAGATATGTGAAGAAACTTTGCTGTTTCTGGTCCTGGACTGGGTGAAACAGATGTGGGTGAGAAACCCGTGCGGTGGTTGACTATGGCAGCTTTATCTTAATTTGATTTTGCTCTTTTCCTCCCAGAATTGTCTGGCCATGTCTGACCCTTTTCTATAGGTCCCAGCCAGAAGGCTTTCAGGCCTTGCTTTGGACCAATCCCTTTTGGGTGGACTTTTGCCCACAAGTGATGGGTAACTTCAGGTGTTTGATTTAGAAATTATATTCTTTGTCTTCTGGTTGTATACTCACTGTATTAAAGTTCCTTTTCATTAAAGTCTTATATGTTTTGTCTTGATGCAGCAGATGGCAGAACCTATTTAGAGCAGGCAGGTTTGAGGGTTCAGGGGTGCCCCTCTCTCCCTGCCCTGTAACAGAGTCTCATCTATTCACTTTCAAATCTTTTGTCATGTCACATTAAGGGAGAAAAACAAAATAGAAGGGTAAAGTATAAAAGATTCAACTCATTAGTCACCCCCACTACAAATTTTATACCTAATTTTTCATCAAACCCAGAAGTCAAAGAAATTGCCAGTCTATGTAATAAAGTATATTTTAGAAATTATCCTATTTGGAATCACTGGAGCATGCCACTATATTATTTTGGAAAAGCCTTTCATTTCACTGACTCATAATGAGATGGAATGTGCCTACCTATACATAAAATCTTTTGATGAAGCTTGTATGTAGTATATAAAAAGCCCATATATTCTCCTATACTTTCCCCTGAGGGAGAAAAGAAAAAGTAAAATCAAATTCAAAGAATGCCATACATCATCTATTTTTAAAAGAGCAAACTAGCCCAAAGCTTCAGGTGTCTACAGTTTGATAACGCAGTGACAAGCACAGGAAACAGAAAGAAACCCTTAGGACTGCTTCAAGGGAGGCAGGATCAATACCTGGTGAGATCAGGTTTGAGAGTATGACAGGTCTGGATTCCAAGTTCCCTCTGTCACCAGCTACCTGTGTGAACCTGAGATAACATCATGACTTCCAGCTTATTTGTGAAATGGGGAAACTACTGGCCTACCCAAAGGTAATAAGGAGCAGATGGTAATAACGTGTGAAAGCACCCAGACTCGGTAAATTGATAAACCTTAATTCTACCTCCCATGCTGGACTTCCTATCCTGGAAGACTTAACTCTCAAATCAGAAGTTGGGTGGCCTCTGTTTCTTCTTCCACAGCCATGAAGACGTGGTGAATGTCACTCTGTTCCTATATGTACCTTTTAAATAAAATGAGTTTTTATCTTGTTTTATTATGGAATGAAAGTGTAAGGAATAACAGCAAATCAGAGGGGAAAAGATGTTAGCGAACACTTTAAATAACACTAAATTCCAAGATGAACTCAGTATTACAAGTTTAAGCTCTCCCGAACAAGTCATTTTGGCTAACAGCATGTGTAATTAAAGTTAAAAGTATACTAAAACAACACTTTAGCTGCTGACCTTAAAGTTCCTTTTGAAAAGTTCAAGCAAAACATTAGCACATGAGAGACTTGACTTTGTCTACTAAAGACATCATGTAGCAACACTTCATGTATCTCAAACCTTCTGCAGTTCTAATAGAATTGCTGAGTTAGTCTGTGCTGACTATATGCACTCAATTCTGCTCTACAGACCCCAGTTTTAACTAGTTAAGAACATAAATTTTCTCTTGAGTTGATATTGGGGAAAGAGACAAGAAGTTTCTGTTGTCTGCTGCAGTACTCCAAGTTATCAGGAGATTTAGAAGGCTCACCATTGAAACAAGCACAGAATCAGCCAGAACTTGCCCCCAAAACACACACAGTTTATTAGGCTTATGCTGCATTTTTAAAAAGAACTAAACCCTGGAGCATTACTTACATTTAGTTTTACAAGGTTCCCCATAAGAGAAGTTTTGCAGAGGATAGAAAGCCATAACTCTTTCTACACACATTGATCACTGCCCACAGCTGCCATTTCAACATGGCGTGGATTATCTGAGATGAATGAACTGTGCTTAAGCCTAGTCACAAAGCCCCCCTTTGCTATTACTGGTCTTTTTTACACCTAACTAATAACTAGCACAAAACTTTTGATAGATGATGGTGGCAACAATGTTTTCAGAATTACTCTGACAAGTACATCAACGTTTATTACAATAGCACAAGTTATTTGCAAATCATACCTAAGCGCAAATGTCATTTACATGTGGTTTTCAGTATAGAAAGATATTCTGGTTATTGCATCACTCAGTATTTCACTTTATAGGTTGCAGGAAGATGTGGTCAACAGGAAAGTGACAGTAATTAAATCAAAAGTGGTCTAGTTCATTTCAGTTCAGTGGTCTGGTGTGCCAATCAGAAACTTAAGCAATGCCTCATGACAGAAAGCTGAGAAACCTTCATGAAGAAGTCATTGAGAAATCCCTCAAGTACCACTTACTGCATGGTATTTCATGGACACTCACCTGGTGAAGACCAGAGATACCCTAGGAGTCTTGAGCTGAGTTCATTTACTTTGTTCAAATGACCAAATCAAACAATTCAAGGGGAGATTGAGATTAACAAAAGGCCAGATAGAAAATAAATGTAACTCAACCCAGGCTACCCAAAAATTGTTTTTAAAGCAGTCTCAAATATTTTTAACTCTAAATATACAACAATGAAACTATAACTACAATGTATAGAGAATGTATAAGGAATTAGTTTCTTTTTTAAAATGTTGAGGATAAATCCTGGTTGGTGTAGTATGAGATGTTATTGGACCTGTATTTTCCAAACCAATGGATAAAAAACAACAACAACAATCCCACAGCCCTGTAATGGAACACAGAAAAGACTGCCCTGCGTCTCCCTTCTCCCTTCTCCCTGGAAGGGCTTGCACCACCATTATTTTCAGTCTTGTGTTGACAGAAGGTTCAGAAAGTCAACTACCAGAAAGTATATATTCTAGCACATCATACTGTCCCTTTCTGATGAAAAGTCAATATTAGACAGTACCTATAATACAAAGATATATCCAACTAGATTAGCATTTGAATTAGGCATGAACACATACTTTCATGAATCCAGTATTAAAATTATAGAGAAAAGTTCATTATGAAGACATAATAGGCAACTATATTAAAGCTTTAATATTTCAGAGTAGCCATAAAGCCTGAAAACCAACTATTTTTTACTATGTCAGATGACTAAAAAATGCTACCATTAGAAGTGGGAGTTGGTTAAACAGAAATGATTCCAACCAGATGGTACATCACTCCATTATACCAGACACCTGAGAGAAGTCCAACAATGATTTGCAAAGTGGCCGTGTAGATTGCTCTTCTTGAAAACAGGTTCTGAACCTCCTGACTGCACTAAAAGCACATCAAGCATCATCACAGATGCCCATGCAGAGCTGGATCAAAATATTGCATGCATGTACTCCATTTACTGCACCAGTGAAATGCACACTGAAACACTGTGGAAATATACCAAGCTGATCATGGTTTGACAGGTGATACCAAAACCATATTATGTAGGTTCACCTAGTTTCCCAACTCTAACGTCACGTATGACACACTGAAACTATAGTATATTCCAGGATCTTGCCACATTAATAAAGGACTTTCACAAACCAGAGGTTGATACTACCCACACTGGATGAGCACATCCTTCCTCTTTGGGCCCCAGGAACTCTGGTGTCTGTGGTTACCAAAGAGCACACTAAGTTTGCTAAGAGCTGGGCCCTGGGTTCAATGCATTTCCCAGAGTGCAGAGACTGCAGCTGACTGCTCTGGTCTCCACTGGCTGATACCAGAAGGTCACACGGGTCACATACATACTTCCCATCTGACACTGCATTCTGGTGTGGAGGGAGAGGAGGAGGGTTACTCAAGTTGACTACTCCCCTTTTTTAATTAGGGCAAGCCTGTGGCCCTCCCAACCATCCAGAATCTCCTCTTCCCCCACCCCACCCCCCAGCCCCCACAAACCCACTCTGCTGCAGGTATCACCACCTTTAACCCAAACCAGGTGCCTTTGACCAAGGCTAGGTTGAGCAAAAAATTAACCTGTGGTCTTCGGCCATAGGTTCACTGACAGAACCAACCCTGAACGAAAAGAGAGCAAGCCAACTTTCTGTTTGTTTTAAAGGAAATACTTCCTGGCACATGTTTAGTAAAGACTCTGAACTCTACACATAAAGCTACATGGTTGGTCGGTCCTAATCTGGCTCTATCCACTCAGGAGCAAAGCAACCTCATTCTGGGGGCAGCCCTGGGTCATCAACACCGACTCGTTCAAGTCACGAGGGCTCCTACCAAAACCAGGGAGCCCAGCTCCGTGCCGCAATTCTCCCGCGCGCGCGCGCTCGCGCAGTACGGCCTCGGCAGGGCCACAGGGCGCGGGGAGCAGAGCAAGGACCCAAGTGCCCCTTCGGCTGCAAGTGGAAAGGGCACACCTGTGGAGTTCAAACTGGCTCCTGCGGCAATTAGGCCGAGCGGGGTGGGAGGAGACGCCTGCCCTTCCGGTGAGGCTGACTTTGCTAGAGCACAGCGCGGGCACAGCGACTGAAGTGCCCACCTGTAGCCAGCCACAGCAAACAAACTTTCCTCCAGCTCTGAGTAGGAAGAATTCGGTCCCCTACGCCACCCCCTGGCCCGAGCAGGCAGCAGCCGAGAGCCCCTCACCTGATACTCCTAACCCCCAACCTGGTCTGTCCCAACCCGCAGACCCAGCGCTCCCGGTGGGTGAGCGGGGTCCAGGCTCGGGATTGCCAGCCGGGATTTAGGAATTTGGGAGACGAGCGGGAAGACGCCGGCGACTGCCCTTCGCAACTCCAGCTCCCAACTTTGCCAGCTACACAGCCGCTGCCCTCCCGTTCTCTCCGCGGCTCCCAACGCGTTCCTGGGGGCTCCCCAAGGCCGGCGAGAGCCCAGTGGGCCCGGCGCACTTACAGCCATAGCGGGGTCTCTGCAGGGACGGCTGCTCCTCGTGGGGCATCCTGCGGAGCTCCGGGGGCCCGCCCGGGGCGCGCCCCCCGCGGGTCCCCTCGCTGGCCAGGCTCTCCGGTTCTGCGCCCGGCCGGCGCGTTCGTATCCGGCCTCTCGCTACAGCCCCCTGGTCGCCCCGAGACGGGCGACTCGCTCCCTCGCTGCTCACTCCCCAGCGCCCGCTGCCGCCGCCGCGCGCTGACACCCGAGCAAAAGTGAACTCCTCTCTCGCTCCCTCCCGGCTACGCCGCCGCCTCCCCCGGCAGGTTTCCTTTCTCCTCCAGCCCGGCCCCGTTATTCACTGTGAGGGAGCGGAGCCAGCGCGGCGCAGCGCCCCCTACAGCGCGCGCGGCGCAGAGCCTGGCGGCGTGGGCCCGCCCCTGCCCTGCGCGCGGATTGGAGGAAGGGGCGAGCGGGACGGGGTCCTGGACTGGGATCCCCTGAAACTGGGGCCCGCAGGCAGCTGGCGGCCTGGAGGCCGCGGCCGCCCGCTGAATTTTTCACTTCGGGAGTTATAAACAAGGGTGGAAGTGAACCGACCGCGAGAAGTAGAAAAACGGCAGAAGACACAGGCGCTCTGCGGTTCCTTTCTTCTGGGGAAGACCTTTTTTTTTTTTTAATTTTTCTTTCGGCGCGGGTGTGTTTTCTTGTTTCCCTGCCTTTTGAAAACTTCTTCTGTGACTCTCTACAAAATACTTTCACGAGGGTAGGTTTTTGCGGGAGGGGCAAAATACTACCAAGCAGCCACACAAAATCCAGCTGGCCGTCTTGGGAGTCTTCCCCTGGCTCCCTCTGCCTGCTCAGCCCCATGGATAGGACCTTTGCCAGCTCTGCTTGGGTCTCAAACCACAAAAACCTTTTCCTGCTAACAGTTTAAGGAGAGTAAACGGTCATGGGGCTGTTTTAAGGGGGGGATTCATGCGGTGGCCAGGAGTGTCAGATCTGAGGATGGCGCACTGTTATACCTGTGCCTTCATCTGGTTTTTCCATCGTGGAATGTGTGGGTGACCAGATCGTTGGCAAAATACAGGGTCAATGAGATTATTTAAAGAAAAGATGGGTGCAGTGACCCTAACCAAGTTGAAGTGTGCAAAGATACAGAGTGTGCCTTAAGGCTAAGATCAGGTGTAGAGTGGCTAGCTATTAAAGGCATATGCATGCCTTCTCAAACTCAGAGAAACTCCGGTCTTGAGACCCACCCTCAAGAGTTTCCAGTATAGGTGTTTTGGGTTGGAGCCCATGAATTTGCATTTTTGACAAGTCGCCAGATTTGGCTGACTGGTATCTCTGCGGGGCCTTGTGTTCAATGGGTCTGTTAGAAAACAAGCAGAAGGGATTTCAGTTAGACTCACAGATTTCTTTCACATGAAAGAGCAAGAGGATTCTCCCCCTCATCCTCATCTCTTCTTCCTTGCATTAGAATCTCACCTGGTTGGGGTGGTATAGAGGGGTTTTTCTTACTTATAAGCAGGTGCCTCCAATGAGGACAATTCAAAGAACCACATTCTGAACCATATCACCTTGGCAGTTAATTTTGGGGGCAGAGGGAGATGTCCCTCTGTTTCAGAATGTACTAAATTGGATGATAACTGAAGTTCATTCCATCTCAATGATTCCATGTTATTAACCTTTAAGCATGTATACTGTCACTTGTCAATGTATTATGACTTAGGGGCCAAATGAGTAGGTAATTTGGGTAATTAGAGGTAGGGGGAAAAGTTATTATATTCTAGTTATTATAAACTAGAATGGTCCGGGAAAGTGATAGGATTTGAAAACCTGGTTTAGAGTACAGTGAAAAGTGGTTAAGAGTTGGATGGAGAGTGTCTACTCCTATACTGCAGGATGAGGTCAGATGAAGGTAAGAGCTTCAACATTGATCAAACCATGGAGATTATCCAGTGGGATGGCCTAGTAAGAGGAATAGATACATCATCGGAGCATTGGAGAGCTCTTTACAGTTTGGGGCATAATGCAAGTGAGCAAAGGGAAGATGAATCTCACAGCATGTTATGGAGTGGGTTAGAGTTTGGGGACTTGGTGTGGTCTAGGGATAGAAGGGAAAACTAAGCAGAATATCAATAAGGTTGACACCTATAAAATGATAAAGGAGAAGTTTAAATATGAACAACTTGAGACCATCAACACATATATCAATGGGTACCATAGATTGTTATAAACAAATACCTGTCAATGGTAGAGATGTAATTAGGCAGTCTGTAACGAAGCCATTCTAAGTTCATGTTCCAGCTGGTCAGCTCTTCTCTGAAGGCTCTGGGGAGATTTCAAGGCTCTGTCATGGGTTTCTTTTTTTTTTTTCTTTTAATGGAGAACATACCACTAAGAGATTTCCTTAGACAAATGTGCCTGATTTTTTGGCAAGTACTAAAAGTAGTCTTTGGGATGTCAGTTTGTAGTCACTGGGTAGCAGCATGCTGTTACAGATCACTTCGCAAAATCACAGAAGAGAAACTTATGTGCAAAATTCTGGACTATTTTCTTGCAGGATTTGACTTAGAGAGTGATTCAATACATACAAGATTTGTGCCAGCTAATTTTGCCATCTAACTATGCCTGCAAGAATGCTGAAATAAAAAATTGAAAAAAAATGTTTTTTTTCTTTTTTTAATAAAGCAGAACAGTGTTTTCTTTCATGTAAGACAAAAGATGGCATTGAAAACCATTAACTGAATTAAAACAATTTTTAAAGCAATAATTTTAAATGATTGTTTTTTGGGCTCCACCTCCTTTTGATAATCATGAAGATGTTTGAAAAAATACAACCTTGCGGCCCTCCCTGGTGGCGCAGCGGGTTAAAGCACAGCACTGAGAATCTAAAGCCGCTTCCGCATGAGTTTGATTCCCGCCTGCCCCGGAGGTGACCACATGGCGTGGCAGACCTCTCCTGACCCGCCCGCTGCTCCCCTCAGCAGTGTATTTCATCGATCTGCCTGTTCTGTTCCCCGCTCTGTCTCTGGTGAAGCCTCTCACCGCCCCTGAGCCTCTGGCCTGTACCCCAGTTCTGTATGCACAAATAAATAAAATCTTAAAAAAAAAAAATACAACCTTGCTGTTATTAAATAGCAGTTTCTATTAAAAGCATCAAGCAGGATTTTTAAAACGCCATGTATCTCGCATAGAACTTTAACATTCCATTCACCTTTGAAATGACTTGGTGATTTTCCAATAATACCACATTATTGATCATTTTAACATATATGCCAAAATAGTGACCAATGTACATCACTCAAAGAAATGAGACATAAAGAAGTAACAGCTTTTCTTGGATTATGAAGACTTTCTAACTCCAGCCCACCCCAGAAAAAGAAATGAGCAGAGACGGGAACTACACTCTACTGCAAAGGAGACTTCCATGTCTAAAAAGGAAATTGCTATAGTCCAACATCAGATTAAAAAAAAAAAAATCAGAACAGAAATAAATGCAACAGACAGTGTTTCAGTTCTCAAAAACAGAAGTGGGAGTAGTCGTGTTCAGGGAGAGACAACCGATGCTTGCTAGCATCATTTTATGGACAAGGAAACAGAGACCCAGAGACAGCATAATTACCGTGGCTGCAAACACATGGAACTTCAACTTCATTCTGGGCATCCTGAGAGTCTGTACCACTAATTTTTTTTCCTATTTGTATGTCCATATTTGTGTTTAAACATATTTTCTTCTATGAAGTCTTATTTCCCAAAACCCAATAATTTTGGACAATCTTAAAACATTATGTCAATGTTAAATCAGGAAGCTTTCTGGCAGTCTTGCCTTTTTCTCTTTGCTTTCAAGTTCTAAACAAATCAATGTTTGGAAAATGTCTAAATTTGAATATTAGCAAATAAATAAAAGCCACACACAATTCCATTATTATTTTTCCCATTTCACAGTTTAAGAAAGTTAGAACTCTAGTGAGTCTGAGAAGATGAGCAGGGAAAAAAAGCATCATTGATTTGAGGGGGTTACACTCCAGTGTTTAGTCTCTTTGCTTGGTCTGCATGTTTCCAATTGCGTGTTTTCTCAAATGCACAGGTGACATACTTCATAGCTGTTCATTATCTCCCTCTAGAATGTGACTACTTGACAAATCGAACATGGTCTTCTTCACTGCTTGAACCCAGTATTTGCCACAATGCTGGAATGTAGTAGCTGCTCAATTATTTTATTACAATCATAACTAAATGTTTATATGTACAAGATACTTTACTAAGAATACTGGTTCTTTTAACTCTTTTGACAACTCTGTGAAGAGATCCATGTTCTAAAATGACAGTAAAGAAATGGAAAGTCAGGGGGAAAAATATTAAAAACAGAATTTTCATTAAAAAAAAGAAAAGAAATGGAAAGTCAGAGAGTCTCACTGGTAGTTAATGGGATCCCAGGTTTACTTGCACAGAATACCATCCTCTTTAGACTAATAAATAGAACTGAAAATCTCAGTTTCCCTTCCACTAAATATGTTCCCTTTACCCAAGTGAATGCTAAAGAACCTATTACAAATGCCCCCAAGTTACCATCCTTATTTGCCATCACAAAGACTGTAACTGGGTGGTCCCTAGGAGAAGGGAAGTTCCAGGTTCCCTGCCCCACCCAGAAGGAGGGTGAAACTGAGCAGAGAAAGAGGAGAGAGAAGAAGAGAGAAGAGAGACAGATGGAAAAGGAGACCTAAGGAAGCCACATGGAGCAGCAAACATGAGATGAAGAAACCGCGCTTGTTTCCTGACCCTGGACTGGTTAAGGCAGATGTGGGTGAGATACCTGTAGGGAGGTGAC